CCAACTAGAACTTGAGCTGACTTGCCCAAAAATTTCTAGCAGAGTATTTCCCAACTTAAGAACTTCTAAACTTGGAATGATATTTCTTCATTTTGTCAATATAAAAGTGAGTCAATATACGAAGCGTGAGAAAGATTTATTAGGTAAGTTCACCGCACGCAGAAATGAGTACGGTGAACCAATTAAAATTCTTCCCCTACCAAAAATGTATGACAGTTGGGCCCGATTAACAACTTGGAGAGCAATATAAGTTGAGTCGGCTGTCCGCATGAGATAATCGCTTGCTCCCAGAAGCGCTCATTCGTCCCAAACCAACTAGAGGCAACTACTTATCCTACACCACCGTATCAAGATTCACATTTCAACAAACCTAAGCATCCAAACGTCCAATCCTGAATCCGTACGCTAACTAAACCACCATTAAATTCCACCAGAACTATTCATTCCCAGTAGCATTCCGCAATAAAGCTCGCTCCTCCCTCCCTCACTCTTCTTGTGCACAAACCGACACAGCACATGAAGAAAACGCCGAGCGCATCCCCCCTTTCCTCCGGTGAATCGTCCGCGATCGATTCTCTCACTCGGCGAACTCACTCCTTCCCCTTCTCCCCTCAACGGCCTGCTTCCTCCTCCGCCATCCCATTCTCCTGGGAGCACGTTCCCGGCATACCCAAAAACCCTAGAAAACCTAATTTCAATTCAAGTCCCGATCGCATCCCTCTCCCTCCACCTATCCGATTTGAATCCCTAAAATCATGGTCGGAGGCCGACCCTTTCGCGGTGGCGTTCGCCGAGTGCGCTAAGGAGAAGCCGCCGGTAGATCTTGAACGGGAGGAAATTTTTCGGCGGAAATCGGCGGTTGTTACGGATTCAGGGAAGCGGAGGACGGCGGCGTGGTTCACCGTCGGCGGGTTAGGGTTTTACGGCTTGTATGTGTCTTGCAAGGCTGCGGCGGCTACGTGCTCCGTTGTGGATTCTACGGTCCGTGTGCGGCGGACCGGGACGGTGAACCGCCGGTGAGGGTGAGAGGAGGCGGGCCGGCGAGCGGTAAGGGTGAACTGTACCGACCATCG